CTTTCAAATCAAGGGGGTAATGTTGGCGTATATAATTTTTTTTTTGGGGGGGGGTAAAAGGTAAAAAAGTTCCCTGACCCCTGCTCTGAGGAATGCAGAGTTACATACAATCTACTGTTGTTCCTATTTTAGCAGTACCAAAAAGGAAGGATAGAAGAACTCTCTGCCCCATGTCTTTTATAATATGTCCACCACAAAAATTCTTAGAATTAAGCCCTTCAAAAGTCATTTGTATTCTAAACCATTTTCTTTGCATTGTCTCAGATCCGTAGAGGGGAAATATTTGCCTTCCCCAACTTTTTTTTTCTTGCCAGTATGTATAAGAATGACAAGACAGTGGAAACATTCAAAATAGTAGCTGCAGAAGCTCAGGAGTTATGATGTATCAAAACCACTTTGCTTTATAAAAAAAACACAAAAATGTCAAAGGAAAATTATGGGTGGAATATTAGTGGCAGAAAAAGAACTTAAATATCTAGCATTTTTGTTTCAAGCACCAAGAGATGTGCCCTTTCAAGTCCCGGAAACATGATCAAATCATTTTCACCATCCCAGCTCTTGTAGGATGAGATTCTCAGCAGCAGAGACTACTGAAAACATGACCCACTCCAGGGTATATTACTTCAACATGTGGATTAGAGTGGGATCAGAAACTGGAGCTTTTCCTTCTTCACATCCTGATGTTTCTCATATGTGGAGGAGTTGTGAACTAATCTTTGAAGACATACTTTCAGTGACCAACGAAATTGAAACTGATAACGAATGGGCTGAAATCCCATTGCTTAGAGTATTAAGCAAGATTAGAGTAAGACCACTAAATCAGTGATGATTTGATGAGTCAATATGTCTCTATGTTTTATTGATTCAAATGGGACTACTCTAGTTGTAGCTTAATCTAGCATTTTAATGGAAGTTACAGAGCGACTGACTTTCCAAATTTCTACTGATTCAGTTGACCTATTCTAGTATCACCTATTATATTAAACAACAGGATCTCATTTCCTGTGGAGGAGTCCTGTTTTGATTTGGATGCCTTCCAAATCTGCTTTCATCATCATCATCATCTTAGACCTGAAGATCTGGAAGGGACCCTATGGATCATCGAGTCCAGCCTCTATCAAGGAGGCATGGTGGGGAATAAAACTTCCAACTCTGCAGCCAGATATCTAAACCACTGAGCTATCCACCAGTTCTTTAATCAGCCCAGTTTAATTCTGGATTAGGAATATATTCAAATCTGAAGCATGCTCCTGGTAGATATAGTTGTTACTAACAACTTTCATTCCCAATAACCAGGACCAACAACATTAAGCCACAAGGCACACAGATCATCTCACTGGATGCCTTTCCCATTCCCTTATCTGGCACTGAACAAATGAGCCAGAATACTTGTTGAATTTCTAATACTTGTACATAGACATGTTCTAACCCAGAGTTGATTTGGTCACCTTTGATGATGGTTTTCTGTATTCTTTACTCATAAGTAGATATTATTCATAGATTGATGTTAGATCTGAAAACACAGTGTTAAAATCACAAGGCTAGGCAGTCTTTTCTGTTTGAGAAGTCAGACTTCATAGGAATACTTATGTTTCATGCTTTATTTACAAAAGCAGTCACAGAAGAAAGAAAGCTAATTTGCAGATTTTGTGAGGTGATAAAAGCTTCTGCTGTGACACTCACAAACAGCTCTCTTCTAATTATGGACTACCTATAATGTCTATTTCTGCTTTCATATTTTGATGTTATAGAGTGGCAATGTTTAACATTTCCGTTTTCTGATTCTCTGGATATTGGGTGATTTTTGCTTAAAAGTTGGTCTGTTCTACTTTGCCCATTCATTTCTTTTAATCTGTGATCTGGTTCCCTTTCTGTGACTAGCTCTGTATGCAGTACTGGCCGGAGAAGACATCCTGCTGCTATGGGCCAATCCAAGTGGAATTTGTTTCTGCTGACATAGATGAGGATATTATCAATAGGATATTCCGGATCTGCAACATGGCAAGGGTAAAGAGCAACCAGCTTATTTTCCATTATTGTTCAGCCTAGGAATGTAAGACAGCACAACTCATTGGAATATGGGAGAGAGGTGCCTAAGTATGGCCCATTCTAGAGTGGTCGAAATGACTAGATAGGCGGGTATAAAATACAACAACAACAACAACAACAACAACAATAATAATATTCATCTAAAACTAGCATAATTTATGGTGATATAAGTTGCAGTGCAATAGTTTTCTATTGCCCATGTAAATGTATTTATCTGCCTTTGGCTGTTTAATTTACAGTAATAGGGCCTACATTTGAATAGACTTGTGATAAATAAATAAATAAATAAATAAATAAATTCTTCGTCTTCTCCTGCCTTCACCCAACCTTTATATATAAAATCATTCCTTCATATAATTTTTATTGATGTATTTTATCTCTAATACCACCTTTCTTCCAATAATGAGACCCAAGTTGGCTCAAAACTTATTAAAAGACTCAACCAGTTTAAAATACAATAATTTATTACATTAAAAAAAGAATTGAACATATATAAGTATTAAACTAATCAGTTCAATTACTGTTCAAAACATTTTTGAACCAAATTAAAGCACACATAAAACAATAGGCAGCACCCAAAGTCATCATTGCCGATTTAACTAGTAAAAAGCCTGATATGGTCTTCACCTGTAACCAGAAGGACAAGAGGTAAGGGGCCAACCTGGCCTCCTGGGAGAGGGCATTGCACAACCTAGAAGCAGCCTAAGAGAAGGCGCTCTTCTGTATCCCCATCAAACATGCATGACAGGTTTCTTTGAACAATTAAACAGAGGAAGGTTTAGTTGTAAAGGTTTGGCACCTGGTTCATGAACCAGAATATTTTTTCACCAAATGTTTGTACCACAGGATTTATGACTCCTCTCCTCTGGTACACTTGTTTCCCCATCTATCTCAGCATTCAATTCATCAAAAATCTAGGACATGGAGCTTCTGTAGCCATGATTCAAAACACCAGGAAATGAGCTAATATTGCTACACAATATCATGTCTGTGTTGCCAGCTGGAAAAAAGATGTCAACCTTTACATCAAAAGGGGAAGCCTGAATACCAATGGCATCAATGAATATGGTCAACAGCAGTGGTCCCCAACCTTTTCAGAACTGCAGACTGGTTGGGGGGCGGGGTCTGTGCACTGGGAGTGGGGTGCCCCTGTGAGCTCGACTAGCAGCTCTCACCTTAGTAAGGTAATGGTTAGTCGCGATCCTGACAGCTTTCTGATTATATCCCATCGGGTTCTGCCTCCGATGCACTCTAGCCTTCTCCTGTTCTGCTTCATAGCTTGCAGCTGCTGGTTAAACCAGGGCGCTGGACGAGCTCTGCAATGGAGAGGGCGTTTAGGAATGATCGTGTCAACAGCCCTGGTAACGGCGGCAAGCCAGCCATCAACCAGCGCCTAGACAGGAGTGCCAGTCAGGCCAGCCGGGACCCCTCTCATGGAATCCTGGAATCCTATAGGATCCAGTAGCCTTTGAGGGCGGACCATTAAAATAGGTCCTTTGTCCCTTCAGGGAGGGAGAGCCACTGAGAGGTTACATTTAATTAGGCGACGATCCAACCATGACAAGGGGACCGACACAAGGTCAGCCACCATAAGACCACACTCTCTCCGCTAGGGGAAGAACACCAGATGTAAGGTTTGGCTGCCCACGTGGGTGGGGCCATTGACATATTGGGACATGTCCAAGGAAGCCATGGTTTCCAAGAACTCAAGAGCTGGAACAAAAACTTCCACCTTCACATGGATGTTGAAATCACCCAAGACCAAAAGCCTCAGGGATTCCAACAGTGCCACAGAGACAAAGTCCGCCAGGAAGTGACTGGGTCACGGGAAGCACGGTAACCCAGCAAGATCCCAATACCACCCCTGGCCCCAATCGACACGTGGATGGCCTCAAGACCTGGCATCGCCACCGCAGAGCACCTAACAACCTCTAGAGTGTTTTTATATACAATGGCTACTCCCTCCCGCCTCCCCAGTCTACCCTGATGCTGAACTGCATGACCTGGAGGGCAGGCAAGGGTCAGGGGAACACCCCCTTCCCTGCCATCCAAGTCTCAGTTATGCATACCAGGTCTGCATCCTCCTCTAGGATAGGGTCTTGAATAATCTGGGATTTATTGGATACAGACCTGGCGTGGAGAGATGGCTTGTCTGAATACCTTGACTCTGACGGTCACAATACCAAAACAGTGAACACCCTTCAAACATCTGTTTACCGTTCTTCTGCAATGAGTAGGAAGTGTGCCAAAGCCTTATCTCCCTCTACCCATAATCACTCTGATAGTCAAAAGATACTAAAAAAATCTCAAAAGGCAATCACATGATCTGTACTATGGTTGCCGAATTATTTTGGACATCTGTTTTGGACTTAATGAAACAGTGAAGCAAAAGTGTGAGTAAGTGCAACACATACAGTAGAGAAAAAGACATGCTCTTTAACCTCTCAAGTAAATAAATATTGGCATGCCTGCTCTCTAAAATGCAGATTAGAAAGCTAACTCATTTCAAATGTGCTGGTGAAGGTGAGCATTACATTTACGACAGACCAGACCACCAGAAAGGCAAATAAATGGGTGCTCAGTGAAGTCAAGTCTGAACCCTTCCTAGAGCAAAAATAAGTAAATCAAGGCTATTTTACTTTGCATGTATAATAAGAATACAGAAATGACTGGAAAAGACAATATTGCTGGGGAAAGTGGTGCTAGGAGCACTAGGAAAAGAAGAAGACCTATAATGAGATGGGTTGACTCAATAACAGAATCCACAGCTGTTAGTTTGCCAGACCTGAGTAGAAGTTTCTGGAAAAGACAGTATTGCCAGGAGCATGAAGTGTTGTAGGTTTGCAAGATCTGAACAAAGCTGTTAAGGATAGGACACTTTGAAGGTTATTAGCTCATAGAGTCACCACACATCAGAAGTGACTTGATGGCATATAATAATTCTGAATTACCGTATTTTTCGCACCATAAAACGCATTTTTCCCCACAAAACAGGGAGGTGGAAAGACTGTGTGTCTTATGGAGCAAAGAAAACAGATTATATTTTCCTGTTTTCTTCTCCTAAAAAATTCATGCGTCTTATGGAAAGGTGCATCTTATGGAGTGAAAAATACGGTAATTTTACAACCATTTAAAAACTAAATCTCCATAGGCTCCAAAGACCTACATAGGTCCATATAGGGAGGGATGGTACTTTGAACAGTCTGGACCCAAGCCATTTACATCAGCTCCAGCATTTTGAACTACATGTAGAAATAGACCAGTAGCCAGTTAAGCTGTCGTGACAAAGAATTTGTATTGTCATTGTAAAAGGCTATAGCCAACAGCCTGGGTTCCAAACACTTTCGAATGGCAGTCCCATGTATAGGGTATTATAATAATCCAAATCCAGCTAAGTCACTTGTCATCTTGACTAGGTCAGATTTCTCCAAGAAGGAGGTAAAGCTTACAAACTCATTCTTGTCCACTGACCACTCTGTATGAAAGACAGTATGATTTTTTAATATATATAAAACAACAGCTTTTGGCGTGCATAACATACAGAATTTCAATCAACTGAAAGTAGTGAATGGTTTAGAACAATGGAGAGACTTATCTCATTTTAATTTTCTGCCATTTCCCACTTACTTTCATTCCTTTGCACAGTCTCTATACTCTTATCTCTAGGTGTTACCCATCCATAATCCCTCTAATCACAGACATGACACATAACATTCCCTTTTATCAGTTGCCTATCAGTACTTTTAAGCCTGCAGATAAAAGGGAAATGGCTAGTGCTTACAAATTAAGATTCTCACATAACAGTTTCAGGAAATCCTGTATTGCCAATGCTAAAGACAGCCTTGATGTTCACTCTATGGACACTGAGCATAATACATCCCACAGAATTAAGTACCACCCCTCTAATTTTGTTGCTGTTGTTGGGAGGAAAAAAAAGATCCTGTGAGCCTCAGGTGTGTGGTGAATGGGAAGAACTAGAGTTTAAATGAGCTTCTAATTACAAGAACTCTATTTCTCTATATGCTCACTCATTGTATTGCGGGAAAATGTCCTATAATTTTTTTTCTGTCACCAGAAAACTCCTCAAAGTGGTATATTTATCCCCTTTTCTGTTGCCCAGAAGGTCTGCTTATAAAGGCCTGGTTTGCTTTCTTTTGATATGGCTTCACCAGTCTTCGTATCAGAAGCAACAAAAGGGGGAAAACATGATTTAATCATTTCTTCTGAGATAAGTGCAAAATGCAATGGTTTACATGTGTTAAAATTTCAGCTGAGCTAAACACATCAAGAAATTAATGTCCAAATAGCCAGATGTCATGGTGACTTCTTCTGAAATCCTTTCGCAGTGTGAAGGTGGAGATTTTTTAATGTTCATATGACCCGATATAATATCTTTTGAGAGCCAGTGGCAGCTCATGCTTTCCTGAGGCAGGAGAAGACCACCCCATCTACCCCACCACTAATTCCAGCTCCCAATCACCCCTCCTGTCCCTGTAGCCAGAGAATTTCCCAATTTTATTCCCACAGCACCCCTTATTTACCTCCCCGAAGAAGCTGGAATCAGTCCCCATTAAATTCCAGCCACTTCTCTCTTTTCCTGAGAGTGCTTTACATTACAAAGAAGTAGCTCTGTTACTGAAGTGAGGCAGCTAGGCAAGGTGGGTCCAGAAAGTGCACAGCATAAGGAAGGTTCCCATCCACAGCCTCCCGGATGTTTCCTTTAAATGGCAACCTTGCAGGCAAACACCACCTCAGCAGCAGGCCAAGTTGCCTTTCTGTTAGGACACCCAAGAGCAGCCATAGCACCTGCCTGCCTGCCAGATAGCATTTGCCTGCCTTGGGGTAATGGGAGGTGCTAGCCAAACCAAAGTTCCAGCCAAAACCAGTACTGCACAGGTGGGAATACCAGCTGCTAGTGTGGAGCCCCAGTGAAGCTCTCTTCACGCATGCATGCATGCATACAGCTTAGAAGGAACATTGCCAGAAGAGCTTTGAGAAGCAAAGCACCTCAAAGAAGGGAACCATAGAGAGTGGCAACAGAAGCTTAGGCAGTGATGTAAAATGGCAACTTGAGGCATGGGGGCAGGGAGGAAGTTGAGACACTGGAAATAGGAAGAAGGGTTGTTCACTATCCTGAACACTCCAATGCTTGGAAGTGGCTGCTGTATTCAACCTTATTGCAGCCCTTCCCTTCCCAATGTAATCACCAGGTTTTGTACACTTTCTTTCCACAAGCTAACTAATATATCTTTTTATTTCCCTCAGCCACAAGATGGATACCGTATTGTTCAGCATCTGCAATATATTGGTTGGCCAGCATACAGAGACACGCCTCCTTCCAAGCGCTCTCTACTGAAAGTGGTCAGGCGGCTGGAGAAGTGGCAGGAACAGTATGATGGTCGTGATGGGCGGACTGTTGTACATTGCCTGTAAGTACTTCTGTTCCTTCATGCCCTGTGCTATGATTGTGGGCCATTTGAAAAGCAGGGAATTGCTGATCAAAAAAAAAACACACCAACACCAATACATATTCATGGCTCAAATGGTGTTTGTCGCTTTGAGCAGCCCCTAGACCAAGGCCTTGTGGTTAGGTTTCCCATCTATCAGTGGGCCCAGTGGTACATCATCAGCATGCTGGCCAGCTTGGTCTAGTTGTGATTTGTATTTCCCACAAGAAGTCACAATGTAGTGTCACTCTAGGGTATTGTGGGGAAAAAATAATTGTAGCTAGATCCAGCTGCTTAGTGAAAAAATAAGGGGAAAACAAGCAGATGTGAATAGGGGGCTATGCCAGCTTCCTAATGGATGTGAAGTGCTGATGTCAGTTCTTTATCTAATTAAATACCATGCTCCTGAGGCAAGACATTTTCTACTAGATTCTCCTGATTTATGAGAGCTGTAGAATGATTCAAGCTATTAGACAGGATTGTCTGCACAGATATCTGGAGTATGTGTGTATCAGCCCATGAGCTATGGGAATACAGCATGTATACCATCCCGATCTTCTGCTTCCATGTACTAATTGACTACAGGGACACAGAATATAGATATAGCTACACAGTTGTCTGTGTAGCTCTGATTATGCAAAGAGGGACTTTGCCCTTTGGAGGAGCTTCTCAGAAGCCCACCAACTAATACAAATTTGCTTGCTTGTCTAAATCAACATTTTCTATGCCTAGGAATGGTGGTGGCCGCAGTGGCACCTTCTGCGCCATATGCAGTGTGTGTGAAATGATCCAGCAACAAAATATCATTGACGTGTTCCACATAGTGAAAACCTTACGGAACAACAAATCCAATATGGTGGAGACATTGGTAAGTTCAGCAGGAAAGAAGGCATTAAAAAGAATGCATCTCCAACATGATATACTTTGGGTCAAAATGCATTACATTCTGAACTTCACCTCCCACGTATCTGCTTTAAGGATTATATCTTCTCTCATAGACTTCCATTTTGGACTTTATTAAATTATGGAGGAGAAAACAATTCAATTATCTGCCCAAAGTCTTCCTAAAGCACCCTGTGAAGTATTTGAATTTTTTAAATTGTAGTATTATTACATTTTAAAATTATTTTTAAGTTGTGTTTCTAAATACATATATAGATAGTTTTAACAAACAAACCCAGTTTTCAGTAGGGGACAATCATCACACACATTTCAGGTATAAAACAGACTGAAACGTTTTATTTGGCATAAGTGTTTAAGTGTATGCTGAAATCAGATGCAATTTGTGAAACTTTGCCACAAAGATCTTCTCCAAAATGCTAAGAGCTAGAAACACAAAAATTGATGTGGATACTGCTAACTTCCTAAATTAAAAACTGGAAAGTTTATATCTCAGAATTGGTTTCCCAGAGCCCCAGTTTTGTTTGTTTGCTTGCTTATCCAGAAAAATCGAAGAAATGATAAGAACTAGAAAAACAATAGTTTGCAATCATAAACAATTACTGATTTTTCCATCTTAAAAAACTGGGTAGATTCTATCTCAAAATTATATCTCAGAGACCTATTTATTTACTTGTCTGTCTGTGTCCTAAAAGATTGTCCTATTGGTATATGTAGAAAATATCATTTTTCGAGCTGTTAGCATTTCAGAGTAGCAGCTCAAAATATTTTCCACACATACTAATGGTTTTCCAAATGAAAAAACAACAACTACTAGTTAGGTTATGTCAGATCATTTGTTTCTCTGTTTGAACCGGTAAGAGCAAAGAATCAAAATTTTGTACAGATTTTACTAATTTCCTAGCTCAAGTAAGTGCATTGGATAATTAGCATTCATTAGTGACTTACCATAGGCATTTCATGGAATCTGGGCCAGGAGAGAAAAGAGATAACACTGGGTGAGGGTAGAACTCACTGATTTTTAATCGAAGTGAAACCTTTAACATTTGTTAGTACCAAATAAGACCTGTTAACTCTTTCGGTTGGTTTTTACCATCAGCATTTGGGACAGACTAGGGGGGAAATGAGCATATGTGCTCTAAATAACATTGATAACAGTCATAAAATGTACAGTAGGTGAAAAACATATCTTTTAGTACTAGCACATCATAGATGTCAGCCAGATTAAAGCTTGATTTAAAAAATAGAAGTAGCTGGCAGTCTTGCAGAGTACTGACTATAAATCAAGACTCTTGTGTGTATTAACTTTATGAATGTTTTTGAATCTAAATATGTATGCCAAAGTAGGAAGGGGAGGAAGAATCACTGAAGCATCACTTTCTTACTGTGTTCTTTCTTTCTTTCTTTCTTTCTTTCTTTCTTTCTTTCTTTCTTTCTTTCTTTCTTTCTTTCTTTCTTTCTTTCTTTCTTTCTTTCTTTCTTTCTTTCTTTCTTTCTTTCCTTCCTTCTTTCTTTCTTTCCTTCTTACTTACTTACTTACTTACTTACTTACTTACTTACTTACTTACTTACTTACTTACTTACTTACTTACTTACTTACTTACTTACTTACTTACTTACTCCCCCCCCCCCTTTTCTTCTCTTTTAGGAACAATATAAATTTGTATACGAGGTTGCACTGGAATACTTGAGTTCATTTTAGCCCATGAGAGTGGGGAGCTTGCCGAATTTCAGAAGCCTTGATGTTTGAAGGACATCAGTTCCCTGCTTCCTTCAAAGGATTCAATGGGTGAGAAGTCTAAAGCTCTTCACCCTTGAGTGAGAGACCAGGTCAGATCTCAGTGCCATTGGAGGAGGAGAGATCTGCTACCATCTGCTTTATGGAACATCTCTTGCTTTTTAAACAATCTACTGTACAAACTGGCAAAGCAGAAGGCAGGCTGGAAGACTCTGCTTTCTAATCCCTTTCGACTACTTCTCTCTGCCATTTTGGATGTGTGTCCTTAATACAAATGGGAAGGGGGAAAAGAATACTGGGATTATCCATTGTCTTTCAGCTTCTCTTTCTGTTTCAAATCCTCACTTTATGTTTTTAATTTCATTTATCAGCTGTCTGGCAAAGGAGGAAAGCTTCAGTAGACTCACATGAAGGCTTTTAGCACAGTAAGCCTTTGTGATCAGTTTTTGAATTAAAAAACTACTGTCTTGAAGCTGTAATTTCCTGTCTGCTCCCATTGTTGTAGAAGCAGGCCACAGAGCTAAGAATCTACTGCCTTGGCAGTCAATTAGGACTAGTAGATTTCCAATGTTCTGCATGGGTTGGTTACATCTTAATGGTTTTTATCAGCTGTAGCATTGCTGAAGCTGCTCAATAAAACAATACCTCCTAGCCACCTAAACTGAGGATGCTCTTAAATTGCCTTCATGATACTATTATTGTTCTCTGGTTTGTATTGAAGTTGCTTTCATTTTACCATAAGTATTTGTTTTGTGTGCAGTGTTTCTTATAAAGCAGGTTAAAGTGGGAAGAACAGCATCATGTATACCTGCTGGTTCTATAAAAGTACGATTATATTGAAGGTTGTATTTACCATCTCTGCAATCTTTTTCCAAATCTTGATACATGGGAGGAGATGGCCAAGATGCCAGGATTACCATTACAGATTTATGTAACTGACATGGTAAGAGGTATAGATCTATAATGTTTAATCTCATAAGAATGGATGATAGCGATTTCACATATTTTGATCCACTGCATTTTTATGTAAACTCAGTAGGGGTTTACGATGTAGTCAAGTTTACCTTTGCAGGTTAAACTTACCAATCAAAGATCTTCAGAGATTGGGCATATCAGAGCTATAAGTATTTGATTATGAGAGTGGAGAGGAGATGTGGACATTCTTTTCAGAATAAGGGAGGTCACCTGAATTAAAGTATGGCTTAATCTTGAGTACTGAGTTATCTGATGCATCTTCAAGGAATGCTGATTGATAACTGGTACTTGATAAAATAGATTATTAGGACTCTTGGTAAAAAAACGTATTGACTCTCCACCTTTGTGAAGGCCAGGAGACATCTATCAATAATCCCATGTCTTTCACCTACAAAATGAAAATGGTTTTGCCTATCATAATTCAGGAAGAAATTGGAAAGCACACAGAAAGATGTTAAATGCTGGTATATTGAGGTGAAAAGAGTCATTGTTATATTTCACAGATTTTACTGTGAAATCTCAAGAAGCGGTTGTTGGAAATGCACACCAGACCATTCTGCCTTGTTACCTCAACAATTATATTTGAACCTATAGAAACATGTGCAAATTGGGTAGTATGAAATGGCCAGTTTCTGTCTTCATTGTTGACTCTGAGCCCTGTTGCAATGATGTACCTACTACAGTTCTTCAGTGTTTTATATGTTTAGCATCCGTTATTAGCCACCATGTTTCTTTTAAAAAGGTGTTCAAAGGAGGCAAAAGGTTATTTTCATTTTTTTCAACCCAATTTATCATGCTAGCTACCATGGGGTTTGTGAAGCAGCAGCATCTTCCTAAACAAGGGCAGTCATTGCACAAGATGACCCAAACTTGACATGTTGAAAGTGCAAGTTGAAGATACGCTTAGCTATAGCATTTTCCAAAACCTTTGACCATATCTGCTCATCCTATGGCAGGACTTGACTCATGACTAGAGATATGAGCAAAGCATGTCATTTTATATGTCATTCAGAATGAGTTGTGTAATACATTAGGCACCCTTACAGTTTTAGTTTTTGCTTTATACACATCCACTTCATTATAGCAGAAAGACAGACAGATAGATAGAGTTTAATGTTACAGACAACAGACCAGACTAAATTAATCCAGCATATTATAAAACTATGGAAATCATACATAAAAAAATAATTTTATCATAAACCCACCCCCTGAAGCCAAAGGAAGTTTATCATTGTACCAGATTTGAAAATGTTCTCCATTTAAAAATACAGATACCTGTGAATGTATAAAGCTAAGAGGGATCATCCTAGTTACCTTCTCACCTATTTACTTTTCTATTATGTTTACCATGGGCACGGTGAAATACTTTATCAACAGAGTTCTCACATTTTCTGGCTTTCCATTTAATCTAGAGATCACCCACATTTGGGGGCTGATGTTTACAAAAGGAAATATTTGATATCTCCTTGTGTGGCCCTCTCCAAAAAACATGGAATTGGGCAAACAGATTCTGCTTTAGAGGTGTATTTAAGTATTGCTGCCATAATGTGTACTTCTGCACAAGAAATGGCAGAGTATCTAGAATGGGAGTTGGTGCTATTCTTGGCTGGCTTATTTCAGGTGCAGCTCGGGGGAGAAGCTGTTTCTTTTAACACAAATATTTTGTACAATTACCTATTGATTTGGTTTTACCCTCTGGTCATGTCACTATTAACTGAATATGCAGGCCTTTGACCTACTGATTTTTAGCATTTGAAATACGTTGATGCTAATTTTGTTAGGTATTTTTTTAAAAAATTAAATAAAAAGGCAAAGCAGTGATCCCTTCAAGGCACTGCCATTTACATGGCACCATTAAATAGTCACCATTAATTAGTGTCCTAAGGTCCCAAGAACAATTTTTACAAGTTGCCTGGCAGGACAAAATCATTACATCCATATGAAACAATTTGTGCTTTAAAGGTGCAAGTAGCTCATTCACAGCAATTGAAGTTGTAGTTCGCAATACTAGGAATCAAGTCCACTTAGAAATGCAGAACACCTCAACAACAAAAGCCACAGAACATGAAGCATGTTTGATAATTTGCTCTTACATATTTCAGATGTCCTGACTACTGGGGTGCATTTTCTGCTGATTCCTTTGAGACTTGATGTGCTTGACATAATATGCACAAACTTCCTGCAACCCATATGTTCACTGAGCTTTAATGTGTGCACATCATTTTCATGTGTCTGCTCTGGGAATAGCTGCTAGATCAATGTGGGTTTTGCAATCCGTATGTCAGGCTTCCCAGTTTTAGTGCAGTGACAATGTAGGGAAGTGCTTTCTACCCAGACATTTCCTGTGCATCCAGCTACATGCCCCAAGAATGAGAAGTGTTTGTCTGGGACAGGAAGTAATCTGGATGACATTGATTGCTTTGTTGTTTGACTACTAAGGAACTATACCTGAAAGAATTGAGATTTATGAATGGCAGTACTTAATGCAGTTGTGGAAGTGATATGGTTCAGAAAAGATGCTAGGTAAATCTAACATAAAATGCTTAGATTTAAAGAAAAGGTTGGCAGAAGAAAAGCAGAATTGAGGGCTAGCTAAGGGCATGTAGTTTCTTGTGTACCTAGTTTGGCATAAATCTAGAAACTGAGGAAGCAGCACCTGGGAAAAGATACTATGCCAGCATTGTCATCTCAGTGTCTTTAAGTACACCATTTATGGTGGGCAGATCCATACTGGTGAACCTTTATGAGCATTGTGAACCAGTGTGCAAGTCTACAAAAAAGGATATGGATAGAAGTGTAGACGGAAGTATATGGGGTATGAGAGAAAATATGACTAAATAGAGAGGAACAGAGGGAAAGACGAAAAGTATCATAGATGAAATTCTACTGGAAAATGCTTAGGAAAACTAATGTACAGGCTTGAAAACTTTGTTTCTTGTAGTGTACTTGAGAATCAGTAGAGGTGTTTGTAGGAGTAAAGAACATAATTTTCAGCAAAGCTGTTTTATTGCTCATCTTGCAAAACTGCTCTGGAATTATCATTAATTTTACATATTATGACCCATTTATCTTAAAAATCAAGGAGCATATCTGGAAAAAGAAACCTCACGTTTTTTAAAAAAGAAATCCATCCTACGAAACAAAAAGTACAAAACAGCACACTTCCAAACACATTAACACAGTGCAGCAATCAGCAGCAGCAATGGAAATACACACACGTACACACAGCAGATTAATTCAACAAGGCTGGAATGAAACAATAATGTCAAATTTGAGTGTGAGTGAAAGCAAAAATATGTAGTTATTTGCAGTACTAAGCTAGATAAATGGCCTGTGGGGTGAGAGAAAAGAAGGATAAATTATGCTAATCATTAACTGGGCATTAAATATCCAGAAGATTATAGTGTAAGCCAAATTGTGACTTTCAGTCAGTTCCTCCTTGGTAAACAAAGCATCCCTATCAGGGGTGTGTGCATGACTGCACCAAGCCAGTGTGCATGTACTTTCCCCAAGAATCATGGCAGCACACTTTGCTTTGAACATTACAATTTGGCTTACACTAGGAATAGAATTTGGGCAGTAGAATCTGAACAGAGTATGAGAGAAATCATATCATGCCAGTATTATGTGGTCTTTATGGATGCCCACAGGTAGGCCCTGGATAGATCTAAAAACACATTAAAGCTTCTGAAGTAACCATCATTACTGATTGAGATTGTTTAAAAGGAAAAAAAATAACCTTCGTGCCACATATTTTGAAAATGCTGCTGTCTTGGAACTAATGAAGTAACACTATTTTTCTCACTTACCTTTCTTACGTCAAAAATAGAACTGCAATTGTTAGTATCTCTGTTTCTGCCACTCTCTGGTTGGAATTAGAGGAACAGGGAGAAACACCTTACTGATGAGATGAAGTATTTCACACACAAATGAAAGAGTGTTGTTCTAGGTTCTGAGCACTGAGTCAACATGATCATCTCTTCACCTTATGAGTGGTTTACTTTCTTGAAGAGTTCTTTGCGGATATAACAACCGGAGACTATTTTTAAAAGCAGCCTCATCTGTTTTAAGAGAACAAGCTGGAAGCTGCAACAAGCATCTAGTTCAATGTAAGCATGATAACAGTAAATCTCTGAAATCTTTCTGCTCTACTAGCAACCAGATTGCCCTTTTCAAAAAAAGATCATTTTTCTTGTTCTTTTTCAACAAAGGTGCCTGTCTCATAAATTCTTGTCCATGTCTTGGCCACCAAAACAATTTCAGCACAGTAATGAAGAAGTATATCACGAAAAGGCTGAGCTTTGTAAGTTTTCAGGCAGAACAAATGTATAAAAATGAGAAACAAAAGAATGTCTTAAAACCTCCCTCTCTTCCCTCATTAACAATTGCTCTCGTAGCTAATTTGGATCTCATGTTGCTTCATTTGCTGCAACTTTTCATGTCGATGGGAATACCTTTCAGTGCTAGGCTGTTTTAAAGAGAAATGATATGTGATCATTATCTGGGGGCTTTTGTAGTGACACTGATGATGATTCAGAGGGCAAAATAAAACTATTGTAGCCTGGTGTCAAGGAAGACCATTTTTGGTATTCAGTGTGCACATAGGGACAATAACAGGTTACAGTTGAAAAACAGCATGCCATGTGATTGACTTTGTCCAAGCAAATGATGTAAGATCTGCTACTACAAATCTGAGTGCATATAGCTAGATTTAATCATTGATATTTGGAGAAAAACTATTTCTTGCTCTGTTATCAGCCATTCTTCTGTTTCTTTATAATAAGACTATGGCCCAACTGACAGAATTTTTTTTTTTTTTTTTTTTTTTTGAGAAAGCATTGTGAAACTGTAAATTTAACTTGCCATATCTTATTTTCTTCTTTGAAGTTCTCCATGCTTCTAAGTATATCAGTAAACATGCATACAAGATGGCAATGTCAAAGTGGGAGGGAAAACCATGTTTGAGTGACCTTTCCAAGATGGAAAGCAGTCGTATTCATCCAAAAAGCCAATAACAACCAAAACAACAAAAACAAATCCTACAACTACAGACCAGCTGTGAAGGGTGGGGAGCAGAGATTGGAAAGATGAATATTGTGGACTGCAATGCAGAATACTTGGGAAATGTAATCCAAAAAAAAAGTATGTTTTCCAAACTCTGCTGTGGAGAAAGCATTAGCACTGACTTCACCTTTCTGTCTCTTCTCCATACCAATCCCTGTTGAAATTAAAGCTTTGTTTAAGCCTTCTCCACATAGAACATCAATTCTACTCTACCCTCCCCTGCCATGCCCTTTCTAGGGTGCTGAATTTGTGCAGGATTTATCAGGATTTGTGTTAAACCATATTGTTAAAACCAAATTTCTGTTCTCTTTTAAAACTAGGCATCTTAAAAATATATATTTAAGCAGCCTGAAGGACATCTGTACGAAATCTTTATGAGCTTCCTTGCTTGTTTGTTATCTTGGAGCAGGAGTTTCGTGCTAATTGAAAGCAACCAACTAGAAAACTCTTACTACCTGAACTCTGCCCCTGTATAAATCTCTTCCTTTAAAAAAAACAACTGTTTTTAAGAGGGATTTTAAAAGGTGAGGACAGTTTTTGACAAATCAGGAAAAGCCTTACATTATATGAATGGAAGGAGAAATGCTGGTAAAATCAACACAGAACCTGGTATTTCTATCAGAGCAAATCCTTTGGATGAGACCTAAGTCATTACCTACTTTGTTGTTATCAAATATGTATAGAGTGAAATGACTAGTACCTCCTCTTTGTCAGGTGAATGGGGATATAATAACCTTAGAACCCCTGTATGAAAAGAAACTCTTGCCCATATGTAGACTCTACGCACAAGAAAATTGGATTTCTTGGTCATATGAAAAGCCTACACGTGAACAAGAGCTTCACTACAAAGATGTTGTCATGCCTCTGTGTCTGTTGATGATAACTGCATAGTAGCAACTAAATAGGGTTTCAGATTTACTGGCATCCAACAGAGTCATTGTAACAACAGCAACAAGAAGACTTTTATTCTCTCTCTCTGTCTCTCTCTCTCTCTCTCTCTCTATAAGAATGATGGGCATAAACATGTGTCAGCAGCATCCCCCACTAACTAGAAGATCCCTCTATTAGCTCATTTGATCCAACTGTATGGAGCCAAGAGGGATCATTGCATGATGCCGAAATTTTTCTTTTGCAAGATCCCTTGGAAACCTAGATTTACTGATAAAGCTCACTTGTACAGTTGGATGTTTGATAGATAAAGCACGTATTAAAAAAACAACAAAAACTTTAAAAATATAACTACAGAAATTTCAGCACTGTGCAAGAGGTTGTCTTTTCTTTCTGATTTACAAAGAAGGGAAGGTAAATAATGTCAAGTCAATGAATATCAGATATATTTTTTGACTGTACATTACAGTGAAGTGTAAACTTTTTTTTACAACTGCAAGTCCATCTTATTTATTCTTGTAAATGTTTCCAAGACAATGTTTGTAATATGGGCTGTGTTGCAAATCCATACAATAAACTTGTGATTCAAGATTAATGTTTTACTAAGAAATTATTGCATTGGTGCTTTTCTTTTCTTTTACTTCATATTGGAGAGGTATTGTTAAAAATATGCTGTTAACCAAAACAAAGGGGGACTGCTGGATCAAAAACATGCATTGCCAATAATAAAACAAAGTATAAGGCTGCGATAAAACTGCTTTGCTAGAATTCTGCTAGCAAGAGCATCATGCTAAACGTGGTAGGGGCGCTCACTACCTTGGTACATGCGCTCGTAATCTCAAGATTAGATCACTGTAACGCGCTCTACGTGGGGCTGCCTTTGAGGCTGCTGCGGAAACTACAGGTGGTGCAGAATGCGGCGGCCAGATTACTCAGTGGAGTGAAAAAATTCCAACATATTTCGCCCACTCTGGCCGCATTGCATTGGCTGCCCATCCGTTTCCGCATCGACTGCAAAGTGTTGATGCTCACGTATAAAGCCCTAAACGGTTTAGGGCCTTGTTATCTGGCGGAACGCCTACTCCCACCAAGATCTACCCGTGTCACACGTGCGAGCCAGGAGGTGAGGCTGAGGAGCCTAATGCCAAGGGAGGCCTGGAAGGAGAAGACAAGAAATCGGGCCTTCTCGGCAGTGGCTCCTCGCCTCTGGAACAATCTACCTCCTGGGATTCGCGGGGCTCCCTCGCTGGGTATTTTCAAGAACCAATTAAAAACATGGATGTTTCGGCAGGCCTTCCCACCAAATAATTTATGATGCTTCTTTTCTTCCCCTCTTCTCTGGTTTTCTGTCTCTGTAAGGTTTTTATTATCTATGCCATTTTATATATGTTTTCTTTTATTATTTTCTCTTGTTAGCCGCCTAGAGTGGTCCTGAGTTGACCAGATAGGCAGGATATAAATAAATAAATAAATAAATAAATACATACATACATAAATACATAAATAAATACATAAATACATAAATAACAACAACAACAACAACAACAACAACAACAACAACAACAACAACAACAACAACAACAACAACAGTAATTGCTCAGGACTTTCTTCCTGTCACTCTTGTATGATTTTTAATGCAAGTTATCACACATCTGATTTCACAGTCAAATGTACAACTAGCCAGTAGCAGGCTTGTACAATTGGCCACCCATGATCACACAAGCCAACAAGATTCTCGCCTTATATGTTAAGAGAAAGAGAAAAGTTAGACGTGTCACCATACAAACCAGAAGGTCAATGCCAGATAAATCTACCTGGAAATCATATCTACAAATGTACGTATAATGGTGATACCTAGGATTTCTGTTACTTAAATGATCTGACTGAATTGCAAAGCAACTGGATTTGTAATGACATGAAACAATTAAGGATGGTGAGATCCCAAGCAGATTGAAAAGCGCAGCAGATAGGATTTAAGATGAAAAAGAAAACAAAACCTTTTGTATTTATATCTTAGGACAGATCAAAATGAATCCGTTGTGACAACCAGGGGAGAAAAAGGACAAAGAGGCTAGAATACCATCAGTATTCAAAGAATTTGCTTAATTTTGGACAGTTACTTGCAGCCAATTGATAAGATGTCAGGATGCAATGCAGTTGGGTATATAGCCAGGCATGTGATTGAGATATAGCCCACCACCTCAACAACTAGTTGGTTTAGCCATGGCAAGTTATGCAGAGTTTGCACAGAGATCACTAGGAAGCTGGCTACAGAATTCTGGTACATTAAAGAACAAGGCTGGAATCCACATTATGCTCCTCCAGCAGGGCTATAAGAGGATGCTTAACAGGCAATGAGTAGAGTAGCTCCACCTTAGCCCTGCCAAGGTTTTCCTTGCAATTGTGGAAGCTGGAGATCCTCATGTTGCTTTAAACCGGGCTTTGGTTCACACAAAATGTTGCTGGACTCACATTCTCATGAGCAGTAGCCAGTAAGGAATCATGCTTGGAAATGACTATTCTCCAGCATACCCCTTGGCAACAGGATAATAGCCTAACAAGTTTTATTTGACATAAATGGACAGCATTCAGCTTCATCAGATAAACTGTGTCTGATAAATTGGACTGTAGCCTGAAAAAACCTATGCCTAATAAAACTTAGTGTGCAGCACCAGCAAAGAGACTGAGGCAGAGAAAGGCCTTAACAACAAGATGAAACAGAATGGCGCTTGTGAATCATGCATCAAATTTTGGATTATTATCAAAAAGTATGGATGTTAGCATTCCACTGTTTGCAATGAAAGAGGTCAAGGAGAACCTTTGCAAGCATTCCAGTCAAAGGCTTAGAAAGACTTGAGGCATCTTGAATGTTCGGTTATAGCCACTGTAAAAGCACAAATTACTGTTTTCCACTCCCCACCACTGCTACCCTGCAAGACTAGATTGCAGCAAGGGTATCCGGTTCAATATTTATAGAAGTGAAATTCTAGCTGCAGAAGCTGTCATAGTGAGCTGCTGCTGATTGTGTACCCAATGTGCTGGTTGTGTACCTGATCATGTGCAACTGACACCTCATCAAATGATTCTGGAGGCTTCAACAGCCGGGGTGTCAAAGACAGGTAGATACTGAACAGGATGCTGCACTAAGGATTAAACAGGTAAGCATTGTGGCTAACTTTTCTAAAATTACAGTAAGTCAACCCAAGCCATGCAAAATAAATCAATATAAGAATGGAAAAGAGAGAGAGATCAGAAAATTCTTCATCCCATTCCTAAACTTCAGACATTTTCCCCCTTCCCTCCCCTATGCTCAGATTACACAAATTAGAGGGCACAAACTGAGCATATTCCTTTAGGGCAGTGGTCCCCAACCTTAGGTCCCCAGATGTTCTTGGACTACAAGTCCCAGAAATCCTAGCCAGCACAGCTAGTTGGGAAGGCTTCTGGGAATTTCAGCCCAAGAATATCTGGAGACCCAACACTGGGAACGGCTGCCTTAGGACATGCTTAGACATACAATGGACACTTAAAAGCATTAAATATTTGCATGAGTTTGTTGAAAAATTAAAAATCTAACATTCCCCATCTTAGGAAGAAACCCTTTATGACTAGTTTTGGCTCTGCCCTACTCAAAATAAGTTTCTTATGGAGATGGGCAAGAACCTTGGTTTGGAGGTTCGTACATGTGGCACCATTGCTCCGCCTCCCTGGTTGGATACCCCACTCATTAGCCAGCACACACTCCTCTCCTCCTCCTCTTTGGCTGTTCCATCAGTCTCCAGCAGGAGTATGGACTTCCCTGCCCCATCTCTTTGCCTGATCCCACTTTCAGACAAAGAGACAAGACAGGCAAACCTGTGCTCTTGCTGGGGACTGGTCAAACAGCCAA